AGTTCAGCATCTTCTCTCTCCACTCTGTCCTCATCTCTCTGTCTCTCTCTTTCCTCTGAGCTGGTCATAGATAGCTGTTCACCTTTTAATATGAAGAGAAGGAAACGTGCTAATTCTGCTTTGGATATAAAAGAATACACATGATCATATTCAGAGGCAGATGGTCTATGAATGGCTTGAGACCTTTCATCACCATGTAAATATGTATGTTTGCTCTCATGTCCATATATATAGACTAATGCAATACTTTTGTTATAAAGTTAGGATGTTTTTATCAAAAACTCTGGTAAAAGCACTACAATCTGAAACTTGTGACATGTGCAGCCAGAAGACCAACGCAGGCAAAAGACGTGCAGCACAGACACAGCGGAGCAGCAAAGGGTCGCATGTTTTTAGGTAGAATGGAGCTCAGGAAGAGCCAGCCATGTGCTGCATGAAACGAGACGCCAGAAATACAGATCAAACTGGAAAAAACACCAAGAAATGATGGCAGAGAGTAATCAGTCACATTCAGCAGCTGCATGTAAAAGCCTGGGAGGTATAACAGGAAGTCGTGGTGGGAAGTTCCCGACGCAGCATGAGCCAATCACAGCATTTTTACATCAACTAAGAGACGGTGTGTTGGAGCAGGACAGGAGCTGGAAACTCTGCCAAGCTATTACCCAAACCAAGCTTCTACGAGCTCTGCTTGGGTAATATAGTAATGACATACATATTCTGGTGGGGCGCACCCACTCAGGAGAGTTTATGTGAGGAGAAGGATTGGACGTTCAATTCTCGAAGCCAATGAAGTGAAGAAGGAGTTGACTCTTCCTCGAGCTACATGATGATGAACCTGCCATCAGCACCTGGGGTTTTTGTCTGCTTGCTTTTAAATGAATACAAAAGTGATACATGCAGGATCAAAACTATGCATAAAGTACACAATCAGCACTTTTCTAATTATTCTAAATATTCTTGACTGTTTAAACATCTTTCAGTGTCCTGCTCTGTCTGCACACTACAACCTGAGTTTACCACTTATTTGTTCTTTCATTTTAATAAGTACTCTGTTTGGTAACTGTTGTCCATGATGTAAATATGTAAAGATTGTGTTTCTGTTCTGTTTATGTGTGTTTTTTGCTGCTGTTTCCTGCTGTGGGACAATCAGAGGATTCTTCTATTCTGAAGCACAACTTAGATCTGCTCAAATGTCCCTTTGCTAAGTTTCCCTTTAAATACATCTTTAGTAGCCGAGTGTTTGGATATGTTAGTTCAATTTAAATGATTGTAATCGCTGCACAGACTTGATTTTTTTAAGTACTGTTGGGTTTAGTTTTTTAACCTTTATTACGACAGAATAGTTGAGAGTGGACAGGAAAGCGACACTCAGGTCTCTGCTGTACCTTTGTGGCATATCGCTGCTCAACCAGTTTCATTTTGGAAAGCTTATTCCACAGCTTTAGTGTGCCGTGCTCCACAGCAGGTGTTTCTGCCTTGCTGATGCACTTATTTAACTGAAGTTTGGATGCTGAAGAATTCTGTCTGCTTCAACGTATCAGCCTAGCAGCCGGTACAGTTTTATTCAGGTTGAACCTCGACTCCTTCAAACATTCTCACCATAAAGCTTCTCTTCAAAAACACGTTTCTTTGTTCACGTGATCAACTATAAACTTTATAAAGCCTCAGTTTTAGATGGTAGCCTCTCATTTAATGGTGATGTAAAACTTGATGGACAGTGGAAAGTGACACATGTTTGCAGTTCATGCCTGGCATGTGCAGACTGGTTTCTGGGCTGGACCTGAACCAGCATCTTCTCCACTGAGGCTGAGAGTTTGGGCTCAGTGGCTCCTCCAACTCTTTCATAGCAGCTTCACACGGAGACAGCGCTGACCTGAGTAAACCTACAATTCTGTTTTTCACATTTGTTCATGCAGAGAAAAGTAAGAGAACTTCACCAGGAGGCAGACGTCACAGTACCACTAAATTCTTATTACATGTTTATCTTTGGCCCTGTGTTCCTTTATGGGGAAAGAAAACCAGATAATTCCCATTTTCAGCGCTGTCTAAAGTGTTGAGCAGAAAAAGAACAACTCAAAGACCAATACAGCCAAAACATTTCTATCAATGACGAGCGTAACTGAACAAAACGACTGTTTTGTGCTGCTATGTGTGAATGAAGTCATGTGACACATCAGGAGTGACCCCTGCCTGAGCAGCAGAATCCTCCCAGTGAAGCGATGGTGTAGTTGTTGTCAGATTAAAGGAAACGAGCGCCAGCCTGTTTATCACTACGTGTAATATATTTGCCATCTTGAAACGAGCTGTTTTCTGGTGAACCCTGTGACACCACTGAGACGGTTTTATTCGATAACATCCACACGTGAGAAACTTGCATGGGTGTGGATTTGAAAGGATGTGGCCCTTTACCAAGAATGACCTAACAACCATCCTGAGCTGCATTATTAAAAGATGCCCCACACATTTAAATTCGAGGCAGCTCTTGGTAGCAGGCTTTCCTAACATGCTGCTTTTTCTAAATTTGACCTACTTAAGGAGCCTTTAAAATGTGAAGCGCAGAAACGCGCAGCGGGCCCACGGAGAGCTGACGGAGCATCATGGGTGGAACCGGGAACAACAGCAACACAAAGGAAACATCGCAGCCCAAATGATTCCTAAAGCCTGTTTCACTGTTAAACAAACAAGAACCAAAGAGCGTGCGTCATTGACAGACGTTGACGTCATTGTGTTTGTTAACAATACGCAGCTCGATGCGGTTGATCAGCTCCGGCTCCTGAAGGCCTCACCGTGCACACAAAGAACTAAAACATCCACCGCCATTCACCCACATCACCCTCTCCCTGCAGTCTCCTCTTTCTCGCTGCGCGCGGAGGAGCTGCGGCGTGGATGCTGCTGCCACAAAGTAACGCCATCCATCCATCCACGCCACACACGCCTACACCCTGCGATCACCGACACATTCCCCTCGGCCCTTTCCGCAGTTTACCTTGTAGATGAAAAATCACTCGGGCATTAATCCATGATCAGCACGTCGCTGTCGCTGCCTCGATCACGGCTCTTCCACCGGTGCGGCGCAGAATGGGCGAAATAAATAATGATTACGAGCTGGTCCTGCGTCCAATCGCCGAGCTAAAGATGCGCCATAGACACAAAACCACATTCGGCTCCTCTGCAAAGTCGTTCGCATCCAAGCACAAGAGCTGGTCTATTGTGTTTTCGATCGCCGAGTCCTACAGTGGCCCTTTCTGTCTCGTAATTTCTCCTCCACACACACATGCACACACGCAGCGCGGAGAGGCTCAGTCTCATTTAAAGAGATAGGCGAGGGCAGCTGGAACAGCGGCGTGCACAGAGCCGCCGTGTCTGCTTCTTATGTAACCCGAGGAGCAGCAGCTTCTGCACACTCCGAAAACTAAACCCCAACAGCTGCTTCACCTGTGCCCGTGTGTGTGTGACTGCTACCTGAAGCAACGGCGCACGTCATTCCCCACTCGTGACAGCAAACTTCACTGGACCCCAATTACTGTGGAGGACACGCAACACTGTGTGTAGGCCGCTCATATGATGCAGAAGTTGGAGCAACATTAAACAATTTGCTCATGAATAAAGAAGCGAGTTATTAACTCTTCACCAACTTGGTGACTCCGCACGCTCCGACTATCACAGCATCTGTAGGAACAGCTCAGGCTGCCACAGCGATCCAGATGGAAGGTCAGCAGCACATGCAGATTCTCCTGGTCACCGATTTGGGAAAAGCACTGATCCTTGGAAGTTTTTCCTTTATGCACTGAGGGATGTACAGCATGGACAGGGGTGAAGAAGAAAACCAGAAGACAAGAGGGATGCTAAAAAGTGGCAGACATATGCAGTCCTACTTTTAAACTTGATTCTTTTAAAACTCTTTGTTACTATAGCAACACAGTCTTAGTTCAAAGGGAAACTACTTGAAAAGTGAGTCAACAGAGCGGGGACAATACACCTTCATTAGAAGTTAT